TGACTTGAACCACATCTGAGTGTGTTTGGGAGAACTGTGGTAATGTTTACTTTGCAAAAACATGCTCTTCTTATTGTTTCATCACACTTTACTGTAATTATTGGTTTAATGTCTGACTATCCCCAGTAGACTACACAATCTGGATCTGTGAGCCAGGGCCATGTCCCTCTTATCTGCCCTGAACACCTGATTAGCACAATACCTGGCATGTCATTTCTGTAGAGGTAACCAGAGGAGGTTATACCAGCTCCCCAGAGATGGCAAACCTAAATCAGAATAGGGATTTGGGTGCCAGGAAGACAAAAGTAGGAGGTGAAAATAAGTTGTTCGGCATTCCGTTTCCTTAAGATTACTCTAAATGGCTCAAATATGAGTTGAAGTATGAAATGCATCAGAATCAAGGTCTCTAGGTTGGTGTAGCTCTGGCCAGCTCAACATGAAATGAGAGCCATGTGCAACAGCCTACAGCACCACATACAGCTGGGTGGAGAGTGACTTCACCTTAGATCTTTATGGTTTCTTCTTTGAGAAAATTATAAGTCGTTATCTGTGTTTTAATTTCTGTTAGAAGTAAACTTGTTCCCCATTCCATTTCTAAAGTCACTTAGTGACGTTATTAATGTATATTGAAGTTATATGTGCAGCTTTTGATTAGTCCATCAACCGAGATCCTCTAAAAACAATGTTTTCCTCCATAAATGAAGTTCTGTCCTCAACCTGAAAGTCATGGATATGGATTGGTCCAGTGTCATGTAGATTTGTAACCTTTCAGAATAATGAAGAAACTTTGGTGTTAGTCATAAAGAGGGCACACTCTGAGCAGGAAGGCTGGCCAAGGGCCAGGAGGATATTGTTCACAAAAGACCTGCAACAGAGAATCTGAAATTTGGATAATCTTACCAACGTGTTGAAATCAGCTTCTTAGTGTTACCAAAAAGGAAGAAAGATTTCCAGACAGAGACTAAATAAGTCTCCTAATCAATGTGAAAGAATATGTGCCTGGGAACAAACTGGAGTGGATATTATGTTCACCTCTTTCTCAGTCCTGTCTTTCAATAACACACGTCAGTTTTTTGTTTGTTTGTTTGTTTGTTTGAGACGGAGTCTTGCTCTGTAGCCCGGACTGGAGTGCAGTGGCCGGATCTCAGCTCACTGCAAGCTCCGCCTCCCGGGTTCACGCCATTCTCCTGCCTCAGCCTCCCGAGTAGCTGGGACTACAGGCGTCCGCCACATCGCCCGGCTAGTTTTTTGTATATTTTAGTAGAGACGGAGTTTCACCGTGTTAGGCAGGATGGTCTCGATCTCCTGACCTCGTGATCCACCCGTCTCGGCCTCCCAAAGTGCTGGGATTACAGGCTTGAGCCACCGCGCCCGGCCTATTTGTGTTTTTAAATTTTTTATTTGTGTGTGTGTGTGTGTTTTTTTTTTATTGTACTTTAAGTTCTAGGGTACATGTGCACAACGTGCAGGTTTGATACATAGGTTTACATGTGCCATGTTGGTGTGCTGCACCCATCAACTCATCATTTACATTAGGTATTTCTCCTAATGCTATCCTTCCCACTAGCCCCCACCCTGTGAACAAGTCTCATTGTTCAATTCCCACCTGTGAGTGAGAACATGTTGTGTTTGGTTTTCTGTCCTTGTGATAGTTTACTGAGAATGATGGTTTCCAGCTTCATCCATGTCCCTGCCAAGGACATGAACTCATCCTTTTTTATGGCTGTATAGTATTCCATGGTGTATATGTGCCACATTTTCTTAATCCAGTCTATCACTGATAGACATTTGGGTTGGTTCCAAGTCTTTGCTATTTTGAATAGTGCTGCAATAAACATACGAACACATGTCAGTTTTTGCCAGATACACACAGAGAGGTGTGAATGAAAGTCACTGTTGAGTAAGTCTGTGATATATCTTTCAACAGAAAGAAGGAAAAGTCTCTGAAAGAACATGCCACTAAATTAAAAAAAAATTCTGGGGTAGACGTATGGTTTCTGAAATCATCTGTAAATGGATACTGTCTATTAAATGTTTGTCTCCAACATAATTCACACTGAAATTCAAATGGAAATGATTTTTTCCTTGGAATAGAGTCAATATGTAGTGACTTAAGATATTTTTCAAAAAAGGCCATGTGTGGTGGCTCACACCTGTAATCTCAGCCCTTTAGGAGGCTGAGGTGGGTGGATCACCTGAGGTCAGGAGTTCGAGACCAGCTTCGCCAACATTGGCAAACCCCATCTCTACTAAAAATACAAAAATTAGTTGGGCATGGTGGCACACACCTGTAATCCCAACTACTCGGGAGGCTGAGGCAGGAGAATTGCTTGAACCCGGGAGGTAGAGGTTGCAGTGAGCTAAGGTTGCACCACTGCACTCCAGCCTGGGCGACACAGTGAGACTCCATCTCAAAAAAGAAAAAGATACATAAAAAGGATATATTTTAAAAGATATTAAATATTAATATAAGCCAAACTCATGATTCCTAAATTCCTCCAGAAAGTTTCAATATGGGTTAAATTAATGCAGACCCACTTCCTCATCCGCCTGGGTAATTTATCCTGTAATTTGTAGTAATACTGTATCTGTGTTTGTAATGCTTCTTTCAGTGAACTCATTGTGCCAAGCTATGCTTATGATTTCAATCATCTTCATCCCCCAACTGGCCACTCTTAATAATTCGATATTTATTTATTTATTTGTAATCAACCATGGTATCTGGCACTGGCATTCTATTTTAGTGAAGTTCAATATTTTCAGAAAAATCTCAGACCATGTTTTCAGGGCATATTTACACTAAGAGTAATATTAAGGTATAGTTTCAGGAGAGAAGATAGCCTAACCTGTACTGGGAAAAAAAGAGAAAAATAGCAAGTGTTATACAATTATAGTCATCCTATAATAATACACTTCATGCAGAACTTTTCAGTTATGCTCACTCCTTTAGTTGTCTGCAGTAAAAAGGGTGCCAACGGACAGATCTGATGCCATCTTCTAGGATTTCCAGGTGTTTCAGGGGCCAAATGACATGCACCTCCAGTTTGGCAGGCATGCTGCTTGTTGTCTATGCATAATCTCATTAAAATAACATAAAAGCAGGGCTGGCTGCAGAAATCCAGGGCATCTTTTTCGGATGTGTAACACAATATTTAATGAAAGTATCTTTTCTGAAACTCCCAGTTCAGCATTCCTGATCTGGCCAACTCTTTTTTCACTTGTGGACTTCCTGCTCAGTCCTCGTGTGTGTCTGTGTGTGTGTGTGTGTGTGTCTGTGTGTGTGTGTGTCTGTGTGTGAACTAACATGAAAGCAAAAGCAACCTTTCGTTTTCTAACTACGGTCTGCCTACATGATTTGCACTGCAGAACAGAATAAACACATGGAAAGCTTGGCGAGGTTAAGGCAGAGGGTGTGTGTGCAGACCGAAGTGTTTGTATCCCCACTTATACAAACCCTCTGTCTCTGCCATTGCCCCTTAACGGAGCCCGCTTAAGTTTCTCAGATGCCAGAGCACAGTTAGTGCTCCAGAGCAGGAGGGGCTTCCCCCTAGTTGTTCTGTGGCAGCGGTTCCTTGCCCCATCGATCACCCTGCTGTCCCAGGAAAGGCAACACAAGAGTGAGTAAAGAAAGGCTCACAGAGCAGCATTTATTGTGCACATAACTCCATCCCAACTGCAAATGCACAAGTGGGCCCCGTGTCCCTGATCAATGTGATATGTGTCTTAAAATACTGAGGTTCACTAAAATAGGATGCCAGTGCCAGGTACCATGCATGCTTGATTAAAAGCACACCCTGCTTCCTGCTCCCCTGGCTAGTGATGGGCCCATCCTATTACACCACTCTGCCTGCGATTCAGACCACACCAGAAAGCCTGCCCATGTGCAGAGCCAGAGTTCAGACATACTGACGCTTCAAGTAGGAGGGCTCAGGAAAACCCCAGGCAGCACTGGGTGGCCTCCATCTGATACTGAAGCCTGGCCTTGGCTCTTGAACTTGGCTCCCCTGCGCCCTGGGGATGGAACTAACCTTGGGCCCTGTGTTGCCTTCCCCTGGACCTCTTACTCTCTTGCCCCATTTCCCCTATGGCTTCTGTGCTATCAAAACAGACCCTCCGACCCTGGCTTTATTTTACACTGAAAAGCACCGAGATTTCTTTTGTCTTGCAATGGAAGTTTATGGGCCCCAAATGAGAGTTACTAACAAAAACCTAAAATCAACCTATTCTTCTAGAGAAAGGTAAACAAACACGAGCACACACATAGTCGCTGAGATTTTGGTGTACTTTTCTCAGTCCTTGTTCTCTGGGTGAACTGAAAGGATTTCCTCTAGTCCGCTACTACAAGTGATGTTTTTTGTCCTCAGGAGCACTGTTCATACATTTGTTTCATGGCCTTCCCGGGGAAGGACTGTCGTTTATCTTTGCATCTGCTCCTGCTGTGGTCATCGGCAGAGCACTATGACCTGCCATCTGGGAGATGCTTAATAGTAATTTATCACTAAATGATAGCTATTGATTCATTTCCCCACTAGACTGCAGTGATTAATGACGATTTGCACATAGCAGGTGCTTAGTAAACATTTACTAAATTGAACTAACATGACAGCAAAAGCAACCTTTCGTTTTCTAACTACAGTCTGCCTACATGCTTTGCGCTGCAGAACAGAATAAATAGATGGAAAGCTTGGCAAGGTTAAGGCAGAGTGCAGAGGAAAGGTGCTGGCTGAGTCAGGAGACCCTGGCCGTGACTACTTTTGCTTTGACCTTGCCCCCGTGGATGCCCTCATTTCCTTTCAGGAGGTTGGGATGGTCTAATGGCTATAAAAACACTTTGGGAAGAGTTTACAGCATTTTACAGCCACAAGGCGTTATTATTTCCTTTACAATTTTCAATAGCAAAAAAACATAATGAGCATTTAGTAAATGTTGACTCTCAGTGTTAAATACTGTTTACTCCCCGAATCAGTGAGCTGTAATGCTTGTGTGATGCTTTCTCACAGGTATGAATTAGGAGCCGCTCTGTTTATTGGATGGGCAGGAGCCTCTCTGTGCATAATTGGTGGTGTCGTATTTTGCTTTTCAATATCTGACAACAACAAAACACCCAGGTAGGAAAAAGAGACAAAAATGATCTGTTAAAAAGTAGAATGCTATTCTAAATCGTGACATGTGGGACAAATTACAGATAGTTCATATGAGTCTTAGAAACTTCCAAAATCCAGAATTGGAAAAGGTTAGGAGTACAGTTAATTTTTTACAGTTTTACCATTATTATATTCCAAAGAAAATTCTGTAAGTAGAAATAAGGGTCTGAATATGAGGACATGTTCTTCACTTGGGCCTCATCATAATTTTCCTGTAGGTAGGCAGGGATGTTGATGGCCTCCACTAAGTCTCCTAGGTTCCAGGAAGACGAGTTTTAAAACATGGTTTTGTGAGAGGATAACTGAACAAATGACCAAGTCATGAGTTTCTTCTGCAGAGATTCTCCATCCCACCAGTTATTCAGAAATGACACTGAAAATACTTCTTGGGGCAAGAGAGAAGAAAGCGATCTAAGAAAGAGGAAGACTTACATTTAGATATTGGCAAAGACGGGCTGAAACAGTTTCTTCCCATTTTTGTTTGCCCTATGCGTAGAATAGAACCTACCAAACTATGTTTTACCTTTCAGATACGCATACAACGGGGCCACATCTGTCATGTCTTCTCGGACAAAGTATCATGGTGGAGAAGATTTTAAAACAACAAACCCTTCAAAACAGTTTGATAAAAATGCTTATGTCTAAAAGAGCTCACTGGCAAGCTGCATCTTGAGTTTGTTATAAAAGCGAACTGTTCACAAAATGATCCCAAGGCCCTCCCATAATTAACACTCAAAACTATTTTTAAAATAGGCATTTGAAGCATTTGTTGATTGCAATGGATGTAAGTGTTCTTACACAGTTATATACTAATCATTTTCTGTTGTGGCTTTCTATAAAAAATAAACAGGTTATTTACAGGATTTGTAAAATGTTTTCTACATTTACTACCAAAAGTTCAGGACGTATTCGTACTCTAGCCTTTTTCATCATTCATAGATACAAGTCTTCGTACCCACTCCTTATGTTTCTTTTCATTCATAAACAGGTATATAAGGAATAATGTCTTATAAACAGCATGGCGGCAATCTGAGAATATTCTTCAAAAGGTGTCCAGGTTAAATAGACATGTTACTGGCTGCATACAGGCAAATTCTAGGTTTTTGTTGTTGTTGTTTTTAGTATTCTACAACATGTATTTAAAAAGCTAAATATTTTTGTGGAAGCAGCAAGTTATCTGGCATAACTTAACTTCTACAGGATCAGAGAATCTTGCTCATTCATGGCCATATCCACATGCCCATGGCCGCTCAGTAGATTGTTGAAAAAGCAAAGCCACACCATTCTCTTTGATGTATGTAGAGAGTTATGCAGCAGGGGATATTCTCTGATTTATTCCACTGGCACCATTCGTGAATGTTTAGTTGTTTTCATACATGATGCTGTGATGAAGACTCATGTACATATTTAGCAAATGTTAGTTTCTTACATGTGTCTGTCATGACTGTAATTCATTATGACTGCTCCAGGAAGGGCTAATGGGGCCAATATATTATTGCCTGTCATGTGGCACATCCATGTGAAGGGGCTGAGCGTCCCTGGCACAGAATGCAGAGCCCTGAACTAGGGCATCAGCAGAAGCTGAGATAGAGATATTGGTCGTGGTTGACTGTGGAGCCAATTAAAACCTGTTTATGCCTAGTGTTCCATTATTGGAACGCTAAGCATGTGGGAGTTATTTATATCCTACTGCTCAAGGTCATCGCCAAGGTCTGATTGGAAAAATTCAAAAAATTGCAACCTTAGGCATAAATGGGTTAAGGACATCCCAAGCCCACGTGGTATGTGCCTCACTCAGAACTGACGGGCTGAGTTCTATCTAGTGTGTCTTCCAGAACCTGTTTATGGAACTAACTAACTGGATAACTGAGACACTTGTCATTTCTAAAGACATTTAAGTTGTTCCAGGGATTTCTGAACAAAGACACAGCCTTCCTCCTAGAGCCAACCCTATATAACATGTCCACAAGGGCAACATTTATCACAGTTAATACATGCCTTTCATGTCCTGTCTCACTCACTCCTCACAGCCATCCTAGGAGATACATACTGTTTTCATCCTGCATTTACAGAAACAAATGAAAGCAGAGAGCTTAAGTAATTTGCCACAGTGATGTCAAAACTAGGCCTTTGAACCAAGACAGTCTAGGGTAAAATATAGTTTCAAAATATGAATAAGAATTGGTATCTGTGTTATCTTTGAGTAAGAAACTGTCTGATATGAATCACAACATGGATGAATGTAGTATTTTCCTGAAGTGTGAAAGACTTAAAAGAAAAATCACATTGTTCAGAGGTGCTCAATGGAAAGAAAAGGAAATGAACAAGTTTGTTAAAAATAAAAATAAAAAATTCCATACCTTGATAATCCTTGAAATATCTTTTGCAGAAATACAAATTAACTGAAAGACATAAAGGTAGATTAGGTCCTACAGGCCAGTGTGGGACAGGGTTGTATGGGTTTGCATTTCAAACAAATTTGTTATTCAAAACTGGTGAAGATAACGCTTAGATTATACTGAAGAATTTAGGGAGGGTGGGGGATGAAGGTCCGTTAGAAACCAGAAACACATTAGTTGGGCATCAGTAAGGGGCAACATAAAGGAATGGCTCCCCTCAAAAACGAACAAACCAAATTTTATACAAAAAATGAGATGTAGCCGGGTGCGGTGGCTCACGCCTAGAATCCCAGCACTTTGGGAGGATAAGGTGGGTGGATCATTTGAGGTTGGGAGTTCGAGACCAGCCTGGCCAACATGGTGAAACCCCGTCTCTACTAAAAATACAAAAAAATTGAACCAGGCATGGTGGTGGGCACCTGTAATCCCAGCTACTCGGGAGGCTGAGGCACGAGAAGCACTTGAATCTGGGAGGCAGAGGTTGTAGTGAGCTGAGATGGCACCACTGCACTCAAGCCTGGGCAACAGAGTGAGACTCTGTCTCAAAAAAAAAAAAAAAAAAAGATACAACTCACCAGGTAAGTTAAAAGACGGGCTTTTAAGACACAGATGTAGTGACTTTATTTAAATACTGGGTTTACTTAGCAAAAGTTGGTTTCCCCAAGCCCTTCCGCTCAGGAATGAAAACATGGCAGACACAAACACGGAACAGAGGCCTGGCTTACAGGCTCCCCTTGACACTTTGCACCTGCATGGCTTCTGGCAAGTTACTTCATCACTCTGTTTCTCACACCTTTAGGATGAGGATTATAACAATAACGACATCACAAAGTTGTCACTAAATGAATTAGTGCATGTTCAAAACCAAACCAGACCAAGTGGTTCTATAAATATCTGTTGAACAAATAACTGAGTGAACAAAGTGACACATGGGTCATCTTCGGGATGGTGTGTTTTTGTAGATTGCCATTCTCTGTCCTGCTACATGAAACTTGGATTCAGCCTTCACTAAAGCTTTTAGAAACATACATATAAAGTGAGTATATCTGCATGAAATAGCCCCTTTAGGAAGTTGGAAAAATTTTTTTAGAGGGCAAGTATGGCTTACAAGTAAAAAGGATCCCAGGGTGGGTGGAAACAGATAAAGATTTGTTCTAACCATTAGGACAGGATGTGATATGGCATAGCTGTCAAGGCCAGATTCTCCCTCTCTAAGACCTCTAATAAGTATAAATTTAACTCAGAATTCATCTCTAATAACACAGCCACAGTCACAATGACATAACGGAGTGCTTTACTGAAAAGGTTGACAAATGAAAAGAGATCTAAAACCCAACAAATCTTTTAGTTAAAAGGTTACTTTTTCTTGGAAACAGAATATAGTACCACCAAGTTATAAAAATGCAAAAAACAGTTTATATGAACTTTCTGACTTTCGACAATGTCATTGTTTAAGAATGTAACTAAATTACTTTTGAGGTATTTCATAATACATGTTGGGTATTTAAAAAGTAAAAAAAAATACATACATGAATTCAGTAATGACTCAAATATTTTCTATTTAGTCTGATAAATTGGCAATTAAAATAACTACACTTTATTCATAAAATATCCAAGATAAAGAATATACTATATAAAATAACCATTTAATAGTAACATGCTTACAGTTTCTCAAAGCTGAATGTGACAAACGTACTTCAGGAAAATGTATTTAACATTGGACTTAGCTATATTCTAATTCTAAACTTACTTTTTTGGGGTGTGGAGGGGTGGAGTCTTCTATATTGCCCACGCTGGTCTTGAACTCCTGGGCTCAAGCGATCCGCCCACCTCAGCCTCCCAAGTAGCTGGGATTAAAGGTGAACAACACCACACTCGGATTAAACTTACTTCTATATGAAAAATAACCAGACTAACTTTTAGGGACTAGTGGTTCCACCAATTCAATTTTAAGACTACTAAGAGAATTTTATAAACACCTATGATGTTACAGCATACGTAAGAAAAATATTTTTTAAAGTTTTAGTAATTCAAACCAAAACCTGCTGTATGTTAAAAAAAAAAAATTCACTTAAAAATTAGTTGGGAAAAAATACACTTAACACTACAGTACTGTTCTGAAGAAAAAACTTTTTATGACTTCAATGACATGTTATTTTTAAGCAGCAGCAGAAGTCTTAAACACCTTTATATGCTTCGAAATACTGTTGATGATCTGATTTTCAATACTGTAATAGGTGCCATGAAAGAGACCATTGTTCTTTGAATCAGTCTCTGTGTTGCTGTTGGAAACACAGTAAGGCAGAAGCACTGGAATCATGGAGGCAAGTTACTGAAACACTGTGATACTGAAATACTGCTGGCTTCTGGAAGAATCTTCTGACATGTGGAATTAGACATCTGAAGAATCGCTCCAATCAGTCACAGTTACTAAGCTGCTTTTTAATGTGCTTGATTCATTTTCTTGAAGTCCTGTAAGTGGTGGGGAAAGGCAGGAGAAGAGAAGGCCTCAATGGTTAAACAAGCACATTGTCAAGTCTATAAAAATCCATAATTTCATATTGTCATTAATCACTCAGTGTCTAAATGTGTTCATGAATCCTCATCTCCCAACCCCCATGAGCTATGTATAGGATGCCACTTTAAAATCCAACCATGAATTGGTCGCATCTCTAGGATACACTCACAGGACCCTTGGATGCAAGCTTCCACCCTGCAGCCTACAAACAGCAGGGGCCACATCCTGCTTCCCACTCTTTCCCCAGCATTCAGCTCAGCACCTGGATGTTGAAGGTGCTCAGTACATTTGTGCTGTAGTTACTGACTCTGAGTGAATAGATGGTAAAGAAAGAAGGATGAAATTAGCAAGCCAAGTAGGGATTAAGTGTTAGAAAAGAGATTTTCTAGGGTAGATAGGCTTAACAATGAAGTCAATTTTAAAATGCCATGATTTTGAGCCACTGAAATAGAGTGCAGAGAATTCCACTCAAGTTTGTAGAAATGTGTTCCTCCAGGGGCACAGGTTTATGATGTTGGAGTAAAGAGACAGGAGATTTCCTTAGGGCATCCTCTTGGCTGTGTAAAGAGTCACTGTAATGCAAACAGGGTCTCCTGGTTTTCAATAATTAGAGTTGACGCTTAGCACAGATAACTGATGCCAGTTATGCAACAGCTATGTTATAACCGGACAATGTGACAGAAAAGGTAGTGTGAAGGACAGAGGCAGCAACAGCTTATCTTACAAAGGGGCGAGAGGCTGCTGAAAATGAAAAGAGCAAGGGTGGAGATGTGCAGGTATTAATTTAAAATTACAGACTGGGTGCAGTGGCTCACATCTGTAATCCCAACAGTTTGGGATGCTGGAGCGGGAGGATCATTTGAGCCCAGGAGTTTGAGACCAGCCTGGGCAACCTGGTGAGACCCCATCTCTAATTAAAAACAAAAAAAGTAATAAAATTATAAGTAGGAGTACAAAAACAGTGAAGAAGGCATGAGAGGTACAGTGGGTGGTGAAAATGAGCCAAGCCCCCATCTGTCTTTGCAGGACATCAATAGTTAATATCTAAAGTCGATGAATCAACAGAGTGGTTTAAGGCCGTTACTGACAGGCACAGAGGTACCACTAATGAAGGTGGTGCGATGGCATAGAGAAGCCTTCTGAACTACTCAGCTTTCAACATGTGCAAGAATTACTTTGACAAAAAAAATTTTCTAATTTAAAAAAATTTACTGAGTTATTAGGCTTATCTAGGCTCTAGATTGGGGGATGTGAAAATCATTTCAAGTAATTATCTCATAGTATTTCATCCCACTGACTACAATGCTACAAGAGAAACCTCCCTTGGGAGAAAATGAAGAAAAATATTTAATAGGGAAACAGATTAATATAGAAAGATTGCCAGAAAAGTGGTCTCATTCAGGTATATGGTCAGAAATTTTAATTCCTAAAAGGCATCTTCATGAAAAGAATATGGGTATAGACATTTTCAAAAATAATATAAAAGCCAGGCATTGTGGAGAACATCTGTAGTCACAGCTACTCAGGAGGCTGAGGCAGGAGGATTGCTTGAGCCCAGGAGTTTGAATCCAGCCTAGGCAACATACTGAGACCCCTAGCCTAAAAAAAAAAAAAAAAAAAATTTTTTTTTGAGACTGAGTCCCACTCTTTTGCTAGGTTGCAGTGCAGTGGCGTGATCTCAGCTCACTGCAACCTCCGCTTCCCAGGTTCAAGTGATTCACCTGCCTCAGCCTCCCGAGTAGCTGGGACTACAGGTGCGCACCACCACGCCCAACTAATTTTTGTAGAGACGGGGTTTCAC